TTTTATTATTAAAGTTTTGTTTAAATGTTCGCCGGTTCCCGCCTCCTCCTTCCCGACCTACGAACGTTGTTACAGTATTATATGCTAGAACTCAAATCTTTTGAAGCGGATATCTTTCTGTGGACCAACAAAATTTAAGTCACCATTATTACCTGATAATTTTCCCTGTAGAGATGCACCGATCGATCGGTCAGGGATCGGAATCGGCCAATTTTCCTCATGATAGGCCCGGATCGATTGATCGGCCGATCAGTCTCACTTCTTTCCGATTTCGAGCCGATCCGCGCTAACTGCGCTAAAACATTCAAATACATAAAAAATTGTGTCAAAATGCCCGTTTTGGCGAGTATCCAGGTAAACACAGTCAGTTTTGGAACGTTAAATAGCTGAGAAAGAGAACGCATGTTGTGTAACAGTATATTGGGTCCGTGGATAAACTCTTAAAGGGACCGCAGTCCAATATTTATGCTGCTGTCTGTCATGTTAATCAAAGAACAAAAGACAAAGAAAACAATTTTCTGCGCTTGACTGAATACATTTTATAACTGTAATGGTATAAGCATGTAATTTTTACAATGAAGACTACACTGTAGTACACTGGATGTGTTATTTTACATTTGATTGCTTTAATTTCTGAAGTATTTCTTAACTGAATAAAAACGTACTTAACCTGAAAAACTTTTCATAGCTCTCTTTATTCTATTGCATTTATTTGTGCTGTTGTTTGCAATTTTTTTATTTGCTCTTATTTTATTACTGACTTTTTACTTGTGATTTTTTTTATGAAAATAAAACTTTGCGTTGAAGAAAAGTAGATTTTTGTTTGTATATGCTGTCAATTATAGTTCTTAGAAAGAAAATCGGAATTGGCAAAAATCGGTATCGGCAGATCACACTAACAAAAAATTGGAAATCGGAATCGGTCAAGAAAACTGCAATCGGTGCATCTCTATTTTCCTCGCTTGAGGGCAGGATTGTGAGTGAACAGTGACTTTTTGATGACTAGACTCTGAATACTGCAGAACTTGTGGGCGTTTTTGTCATTTTTGGACCTTAAAACGCATTTTGTTAGATGTTGAATAAAAAAAAATAAACCTTCACATGAAGATTCTTCAAAATTTCTGGAAAAAAAATAAAATAAAAAATACAAATACACACAGTTCAGAGAAATCTCTTACCCGTAGCAAGGCTGCATTTATTTTGATCAACAGTACAGAAAAAAACAGTGATATTGTGAAATATTATTACAATTTTAAATAACTATTCTATTTTATTTTCATACATTGCAAAATGTAATTAATTCCTGTGATGCAAAGCTGAATTTTCAGCAGTCATTACTCCAGTCTTCAATGTCATATTTTTCAAATACCTATTTATTTGAGAATAAATAGTATTTATTTGAAATTGAAATTGATATAAATGTCTTTACTGTAACTTTTGATCAATTTAATGAGTCCTTGCTGCATAACAAAAAAACTAGAGGTCGACCGATATGGGTTTTTCACTGGCCGATGCCGATATTTAGAAATCAGGGCAGCCGATGGCCGATATATGATGCTGATTTTTTGAGCCGATATGTTTGGCCGATTTTCTTTTTCTTTTTTCTTCCCCTTCATCTAGGGGTGTGCGATATTGACAAAAAATTATATCTCGATATTTTATGGGATTTTATCGATAACGATAATTAGACGATATTTTGCTGAGTGTGTTATTGTGCTGGTACCTTAAGGACTGCCGAAGACAGCTGACTCCTAATGTTTTTAATATTCTTCATATTCTGTGTGGTGCAGTTCATACTGATAGAAATTAATTTTTAATTGTAGAGAGTGTGTTAATTTGTGCAATGATAACATACCAGCAATGTAGTGCTGGTGATACACAGCCCTAATTTTCGGACCCACACACACATTTCGTGAGGAAAGTTATCGTGCACGTTATAATCAGCCCAGAAGTTTCGTCTGAATTGCTACGTTTCTAC